CCTAGCCCACGACATAGCGAAGGCACAGACGCCCAGCTCAGCCACGACCTAGGCACCGTCATGGGGTTTCCTCAAAAAAAAAGGCACCGTCGTGGGATTGCCTAAAAAAAACTAGGCACCGCAGGTCGCACGCACGCACGCGAGTCAGGAGCGGAGCGACCGCGACAGCCGCCTCCCCTCAGGGAATCTCCAGCCGCGCCCCCAACAGGCCCCCCAGGCCACTTTTTCGGCACCGGCGCCGAAAAAACGGCCCAGTCGCGCCCCCATGACGCCGAAAATCACCGGTTCGGACCTTTTTTCTGCCCGATGGTCACAGGCCGAACCCGGCGCGCTGGGGAGCAGTTGGGGGCTCCGGCGCTAGGGAAAAGCATGCCTGGCCCACACCGGCAGGGGAAAAGTCAAGGTTTTCTTCCCCCGACTCGCCTCACACCCCCCGCGCCCCCGGCCACCACTAGCTATATCCCGGCGACGGCCGCCGCCCTACTCCGCTAGATAGCCATTCCCCGCCGGAAAATAGCAGCGCTTCGCCGCGGCAGCCCCTCCCATAGCAGCTGGGCGTTTCCGGCTGCCGTTGCCGGCCGCGGAGGCGCGGTTTAACGGCGGGTACACGCCCACCGAGCGCAAGGTGTTCGGCATTTTGCCTGTCTCGGCGATGGACTCGGATGACGAGGAAGAGCTCGCCGCGCTGCTGGAGGAGGAAGCCGCGACCGACGTCCAGGAAGAAGAGCATCTCATGGTGCTCGCCGCCCTCGCCCAGCTACTGGCGAGCAATGAAAAGCCGCAGCGAGGTGGCTTGGCGCCGGGGCGGGTGAAAGCAAAGAACCGGCATCGTCTCCAAGGCTACTGCATGCTCTACTCCGACTACTTCGCCGATGCTCCACTTCATGGCGAGAGAACATTTCGGCGCCGTTATCGGATGAGCCGAAAGCTCTTCCTCAGTATTGTGAATTCCATCCGGGAGTTCGACAACTACTTCAAGTGCAAGATGGATTGCACTGGCGCTCTTGGATTCACCTCCATCCAGAAGTGCACGACAGCGATGAGGATGCTTGCATACGGAGCTCCCAGTGATTCACTCGACGACTATGGGCGCATGGCCGAGTCCACCAGCATAGAGTGTTTCTACAAGTTCTGTCGGGCATTGGTGGCAGTGTTTGGGCCACAATACTTGAGAAAACCCAATGCGGAAGACACTGCTCGGATCCTAGCCCAGAATGCAGCAAGAGGATTTCCTGGGATGCTTGGAAGCATCGACTGCATGCATTGAAAATGAAAGAATTGCCCATTTGGTTGGCAGGGGATGTACAAAGGCGCCAAAGGCGGTTGCTGTGTGGTGCTTGAGGCGGTAGCCACACAGGACCTCTGGATTTGGCACTCCTTCTTTGGTATGCCAGGAACTCACAATGACATCAACGTGCTGCAGTGCTCTCCTTTTTTTGCCAAGCTCGTTGAGGGCCATTCTCCTCCGGTGAACTTCGAGATCAATGGGCACCAATACAACAAAGGGTACTATCTAGCTGACGGCATCTATCCGAGATGGTCGACATTTGTGAAGACGATCTCAAACCCTGTGGCAGGAGGCAAGAACGCCTGGTTTGCGAAGCTTCAGGAGGCTTGCAGGAAGGATGTCGAGCGGGCATTTGGTGTGCTCCAATCTCGATTTGCTGTTGTTCGGTACCCCGCTCAGACCTGGTCCAAAGATCAAATGTGGGAGATTATGACTTGCTGTGTCATCTTGCACAACATGATCATCGAGAGCGAGCAAGAAGACCCAGTGTTTGACACTGAACCATACTACAGGCAGGGTCCTCTAGCCGAAGTTGATCACCAGCTACCGGCAACTTGGACTGTCTATCTCAGTATGCGTCAGGAGATCCGAGACCCACAGGTTCATCATCAACTGCAGAAAGATCTGATTGAACATCTATGGAGGCTCAAGGAGGACGCCGTGTGATGAAATACGAGTTTTTATTTGTTGAACTATATAATTTGTATTGAACTATTTGTTGTTGTACTATTTTATTAAAGTATTTGATTTTTTTGATGAAATATGTAATAAGAAATAATTGTGTTGACAATTGAACGCCGAGCCACGGCGAAACCATGCCAAATATGTGCCTATTCTCGCTCATATGGGCCCTTTATTCGCCGAAATTGGGCTGCAAAGTGGGCCAATTTCGACGCCTGGAGGCGATGACTGGGCGCAAAACCGCCGCCGCGCCACCGCCTGGCCGCCGGCGACTTCCCCCACGCCCCGTCCAGTCCCAGGGACTGCCTCGCTCCTTCCCGCTTGTCTCCCTGACATAGCCCGGGGCTGTCGCTCTTCCTCAATCCCCTGCTCGGCTGCTCCCCGCTGCTCAAGACTGTGGATTGCCTGTCTGCCACTGTTGCTCTAGCCAGGCGACGCCGCCGCTCTAGTCCGGCCATTGCCTGAATCCGGATTCCCCGTCTCCGCGCCGCCACTCTACTCCGGCCACTCCCCGACTCCGGACTACAATTTAATTGATGTATAGCCCATGTCTGTGTATGATATGAAGAAAGTTTAACTGAACCTTGAGCCAACTATTCAGTCATCGTTCCTGCCTAATTGTATATGTATTATCGATTTGAAACTGAAGCTTTTTTATTTCAATTCATTTCATACTTCAGAAAATAGAAGATAAGATATTTCTCAAGCCTATAGGGATCTCAGAGGGCTTCTACCTCCTCATAGAGGTAAGTTTTTAGATTTTAATTATTCATTATTATTTCACTATGTTTATGCCTTTTCTTATGAAATTACATGTTTGATGTCTTGAAGGTGTTGCTTCTTCTTCTGCCGCAGATCATGTTATGGGAGGCAGGAATGAAATAAACAACTGATTTGGTACTCCTATATCCCTGTATTATTTCTGGTTTTATCATGTTTTATCTCTTCTATTGGATTGTTAAGCACCAAGATTAAATTTTAGAATTATTGAACAACTGAATTTATTTTGTTTGGTATTGCATATTATCTTTTTTTAAATGTCATGATGTGTTCTTGGGTAGTTATAAGTGCCAAAGTTTTTCCTTGTTGCCGAAAAAATTAGGCCCGGGTTTCGCTTCAATCCTGGCTCCACCACTGGCTGGATGCGTCATATGTTATCAAGTTGCACAATGGATCATGTAGAGCTTAAGATGTACAGCATATGTTTGTATTAATTTCAGTTTTATACAAATAAAAAAAAAGTTGGATAAGTAAAAATAACTCTGATGTGAAACGATGAAGCAAACAGCTAAGAAACAAAACTGGCCAAACATCTTGGTCATATAGCTGTGAAATCGCAAGCAGCTGAGCCAAGATCGATGAACGTCAATGTCGTCTTCATCTCAAGATATCAGGTACGTGCAAATCATGGTTTCTTTAGTTTTTGTATATCTTGCGGTGAGCTAGAAGAAAACAACAAAATACATCAGAACTGTTAGAGAAGAGAAGAAGATTCTTGGTGGTTGCTGTTGTGAAGGCATGAATGGTGTTGTCACCTTTTCCATTCTCTTCTACAAAAGTTCACGGATCATAGAGTAGAGCATGTAGTACTATAATACTTTTCATATGGTATTCTCAACAATAAAAAAATGATACTATGTGAGAGAGTAAGTGTATGACTATGATAAATCAAACTGGGATGAAACTTCAGTTAATTGCTTAAAGATCGCTGAACTTCTCTAGAGGAGCTAGCGAGCACAAGCCTGAATTTTTAATGTTTTCTATTGTTCACGTCATTTGGTTGATGGAAATCAAAAGGTAGAGATTAAAGAAATACTGCGAGTCACAGGAAAGGAAATTAGAAGAAAGAGAAACAGGAGATGCATTTTGTTTCAGGTAAATAAGTTCTGTATACATCCAACCCACTAAAACTACAAGGGCACAAAGACATACAGCAAAGACATCTGTGACAGCTTAACAAAAAGGGAGTCTGGAACCAACTACCAGCAGTTGCTTAAAAGAACCCACCAACAAAGAAGTCCTTAATCTTCATTTTACAACGCAACGTAGGTTAATTAGCTTGTGCAGTACAGTAGTAGATATGTACAATCATCAGGTGATTGGCCATCCTTGTTTTTCAGGTGGATTTGAGCCTGTCCAGCTGGTGTTTGACCTGTATATTAACCCTGAACGGCATCAGAAAACACATATCTTCCATGCAATGCAATGACTGATTAATTAAGAAATGTGCATGTGGATGGGGAACACTGACCAAAATGGCATTGATCTCTTCTAGCAGAGGCTGTACAATGGAGACCAAGATCATGACATCTCCTCCAAAATCCTCATGATCCTGGCAGTTCCCCATCAGCAGCTGAATAAAGATCTCTCTTTCTGGAATGAGACCCAATGCTACCTGACAATTTGCAACTATGCTCAACAGATTAGGTCACTGGAAACAACTCAAACCAACCGATGACTGCAACTTGATGAGCTAGATTTGCCGCGTGAACAATCTTCAAATTATTGCTAGTAGCTTGTATAGTCATGTAAAATAATACGCAATTATGTAGAAGCCATGATCATGAAAGCAGTATGTCAACTGATCATACCCTGTAAGCAGCTGATGAGATCCATCCGTGGAATGGCTTCAGGGTGCTCTTGTATGCTTCTTCCACCATCTCTTTCAGGCTTGACTCTGGGTTCTTCATTAATCTCTCCAGCAAATGTACTGAGAAATTCATTGACCTAAACCCAACGCGTTTTGCGACACTTAAGAACTAGGGTTTTGAAACAAAATTGACATATATGGTATAGAAGAACATATGCTATATGAGCAGAAAGTCCATGTACAATTAAGTTACCTAGCCAGCCAGATAATAGCCCTGGTGCAACTGTTGGTCTTCTTTGAGGTCCCTTCCTCCACTTCCTCTATCAGAATCGCCGTCAAAGTCGAATATTTCGAAGAGTCTCTTGCATGGAGATCTTGTAGTCTCTGCAAAAGATAGATAATTGTAATAATCGTAACTAAAACAAGGATTTGGCATGCTCAGTTGCTTAGTGATGTGAACAAATGCAATGCAGAATGCAGGGCAACATGGGAATAAGATGATTTCATACAAAGAGCAATTACCTGAACATTTTGCTGGATGTCTTGCCTGAGGACTAGTAACGTTGGCCCAATCTCATCTTTGAAAAAACAAAGCGTTTATCATTTCAACATTAAATTTACAGATATGATAAGCGAGGGTTTGAAACAGAGTAGCCCTGAAGAAATGTAAGTTCATTTCTACAATTTCCAGTTTCAGTTTCATATCAGTCTAGATGGTGGGCATTTTCATTCCCATGCTTCATGAGAGAGAATATTCCACGATTCGTCCCAACGCAAAGGAAAAAACATCGACAAGTGCTTAAAAAGGGTGTTTTTTCTCTCTAGAACAACAGAACAGTTCAATCTTCATGAACTTCCATTCTTACTGAACAAAAGAGTAAAATAAAAAGCATGATATAATTTGCATCTGAAATAGTATTGAGTAAGTAACCAACCAAGGACATGCAGGAGCTGCTTGGAGACACAGAGGAGATCCATGGTGGATGACCTAATTTGCTGCTGCTGCTCCTGTTCTTCTCCATCTCCTGGGCTGAGCAAGCAGAGCTCCTCCATGGCCACCCTCAGGTCAGACTTGCCCCTCTCCATCTTCTCCCGTTCTATCTCTGTCTCCATCTCTCCTAGATAGTGTACTACCTTAGGTTGGCATCTGCCTCAATCCCCTAGTTATATACACACAAATTCAACCTCATTTGCTGCCATTTCTTGGGACAAATGATGGGGTCAACTTCTGGATGCCATTTTTAAATCTAACAATTGTTATGTCCTGGAGCTGTTCTCCACAACCCTCTATGTGAAGTCAGAGCAGGAAATGGTGTATTATTAGGAGTAAAATAGGAGGTGTGGGCTCTGTCTCCTAGCTTAGGATAGTTTAATTTACTGGATGCAGTTGTCATGGACTTGTTTAACAGTTAACCATTTCGCCTTGTACTTCTTGCAGTGTACTTAAACCATTGGCCATTAAGCTACACGCCACTCCAGCTTGTAAAAATAAACATTTTTTTCTTTTTATTTTAGCGGAAATTCGTGTGCTAGTAATTCGCGCTTATGTAAATAGCAACTTGTGTTCTTTTAACTTGAGACCATTACAAGGCATGCATAAGGAAAAAGTTTGAAAAGGATGGAAAACGAACTATTCTGCGGCTGCTCCCTGAGAAATCATCTGACTAGAAAGAACCCATTTCGACGTGAAAAAATGTGCATAAAAAATTATACAAGGAGATAAAAACCTTGAGTGCGTGCATCTTCTTATGCATACGCCAGTGCTTAAACCTTTTTGCAGCTGTATCTTCTTGATACGACAATGAATATTACTAAGAGGTGTTCATTTCTCCTGCTCAATTTGTTACTGTCATTGGTAGTACTCACCCCTCGTGAGTGACGTGGTATCCTCGAAAAGGTAGAAGAATAAGAATCAGAATGGCATATTATTAGAGAGATTACTTGTGTTCTGCTTTATATATGATCATCATGCATGTCATCATCTAGTTTGAAAAGAAAATCAGCATGTCACATCATCGATGAACCCGTGCATCTTCCAAGGCCATTGGCTGGTATAGGAATCAAACCACCTATTAGCAGGGCTTAATTAATTTGGATGCTGACAAAAAACCTAGCAATGGGAGTATGATCATTAGCCATTTCAATCAGTGGTCTAGCTAATATATTGATGCTGATGAACCCTAGCTAGTCCATCACCATCGACCTCTGCTCTAATCATGTTTCATGCTTCCACGCATGAACATGCACGAATTGCATGCGCTCTGCTAGCTCAACCATATTCAACTGTTCCTCCAGTAAACAGTGAGATGTAGGCAACAAACTGATTACCTGAAGGTAATTAAACTAGCTATCAGCTGAACCTAGCTCCTAGGCTCCTAGCTACAGAATCTGTCTCGGGTTTGGTCTGGGCGTTTGAAATCAGAAAAAAGGAAAAAGATAAATAACGGAACCGATTAGAAGTAACTATCTATGCAGAGATGATCAGCAATTGTATAACCTTGACGTCATATATCTATTCAGAGAGGACCACTGCACTGCAGGATCCAGCTGAACCCAAAGATTAACTATTATGCTAATTAATTTTAATCTTATATACGTGTGGCAAGGCACCGGCCAGCGTATGAGCGCGCTTTGCTTAACGAGATGGATAGACTTGGATTCATATGATATATGTTGTCATGTACCTTACATTGACCAATGATGATAAGATCGATCGTCACTAGTTAATCAAGAGAGTTTTGTGACTGCACGATCGATCGATCGACTTGTAGTTATGCAGAACAGGACCATTGCACTGCAGGATCCAGCTGAACACAAAGATTATTAACGTATACATTTCGCCAATGAGAGGTACGTACCTATCGTACATTGCCTTGCATGGTTTTATAGAATCTTAGGCCGACCAACCATGTTAGTAGTGCTAGATACTCAGGCTGCCCGTAGCGGAGAATTTCATAAATATCATCCATATAATACTAGCGTATAATACTACATCCGTAATGCATAATATCATATATTAAGGCAACTCTAACCAATTCCCTAAAAGTTAGTGGAGTATCCGGCTGAGTAAAGTTAGTGGAGGAAAATTATCCTCGTCTATAGGTGACCTCCTCTAGCCGATCCCCTAAACTTAGTGGAGTAAAAAAATTGTAGTATTTTTTTGTTTTGTTTTAGGCAGCCGCATGAACTTCAAACACTTCACAGTATACATCATTGAAACATTGAAATTCAAACATGCATAATAAAACCGTCATAAGATATAGTTTCATCATTGTGATTTTCAAATAAAACATGCATAGTTCACCCAAAAGGCATCACTTCAAACACAATGTTTGATCCAAAATCATCACAAACATAGCATGTATATGTTATGGTTGAGCTACTCAATGACATGCACCACCACCCCCTCGGCCACCACCACTCAAACGAGGTCCTCGGAGAAGAAAACACCACCACCATCTTCTCAGCCATCATCACCACCACCATTCTCTCGGGCACCATCACCACCACCACCCCCTCGGCCACCACCACCATCCTCTCGGCCACCATCACCACCACTACCACCACCATTCCTAAGAGATGCTTCCACTTGGGTCAAGATCTCCCCACGAGTGAGCTCACAATAATTTCTTGATGAGCCCAACTACGACTCCATTTGGCATCATTCGGAGGCGGCCCAAGACATGGAGCAAGAGGAGGTGGATGATGATGAAGAGGAGGCCGAGGAAGGGGAGGAGACCGGGGAGGTGGTGGCCAGTGATGGACCAAAAATTAGCCTCCAAATTGTTGGTGGTCGTGTTCATCTCCGCACTACGACAACGAAACAAAGAAACTACATCACCACCAGCTACCAACAATTACCTATTGGTCGAAATGTTGAAGATGGTTTTTTACCTTGTATGCATTTCATCAAGCACTTGGCAGCCACGAGCTTTCTTGCCGACGTCGGACGCGCCGGAGCTGTGCCAGTGGGTGTCACTGGAGACACGGCAAGTGTTCTCGGCCGTGGATGGGATGCCGGAGTTGACTTTTTCTTCTTCCTCCTCGCCTCCTCCTCGGCTAGGGCGGATGACGCCGTCATCGGCTTTCAAGCTCTTTGGCACCGTCGGGAGCGGTGGGCCATCACCGGAGAGGCACTCGCCACCACAACGGCCTTTGCCGTAGTTGGAGCCGGAGCTTGAACCCGCTGGACTTTTTCTTATCCCCAAGCTCTTCTTCGGCGCGGGGGTGGTTTCCGGCGGTGACAAGCCGACGGAGGTGGCCGGCGGGGTGGCGGAACAATCCTGGCTCTCCATTTCGGTCATTGGGTTGGTCATTAGCGGCGGCTGCGGAGGGGGTGACAGCTGCGATGGGATAGTCCCAGCGGGAGTTTTGCTCAGCCGCGCGCAGCGCAAGCATATTTAGGGAGATTGGGGGGTCTTGGGTGGTGGAGGATAATTTATCCTCCCTTATAGGTTTTAGTACTTCGGCTAGGTGCGGTGTAAGGGAGGATAACCAGATTTATCCTTTCTTGCCGCCGGATAGGGGATCGGTTAGAGATATCCTTAGCAGTGGCGGAGACATGGGACTAGCAGGGGCCCTGGCCCCCGTAACAACACTGCATTAGGCCTAATATGCATGTGAATAGATGATTATTAACAGCTAACATTGTGTAATTTAGTGGGCTAGCCCTCCCCAACAAGGATTAAGAATACCCCCCCCCCACTCATTTTTCCTAGCTCCGCCACTGTATATTAGGCCAACTCTAGCCGATCCCCTAAAAGGCTATAGAGGAGTAAAAGTAAAATTTTGATTTTACTCCTCTAACCGATCTCACTCATCCTCCTATCCAGGAGTAAATATACTCAACCTATAGGCGATGGAGTAAAAATCTAGTGTCTCTTCTTGCTCTCCTCGCTCACTTCCGACCCCAAATCCTCTCCGCTGCCGAAGCGCCTCACCCCCCGATCATCGGCGCGCCTCCCCAATCAGTGGCATGCCCCATAGCTGTCTTCCCAACATGCGACACACCCCACAGCCGCCCGCCATGGTTGTCTGAAAGCACATTTGCTTCCTTCGTGGTTTTGGTAATTCATGTGAACATACATATTGTTGGACTAACAACTTTATCTAGTATATTTCATATAAGTTCAACAGTGGCATGGCAAGGACATGAGGATGTGGACCCCTTCAAAATGGTAAGGATAAGAATTGGCAAAGCTTCAGGCCTACATCTTTTGTTAAGTGGCTCAAGATCACATTGAGTACTATAGGAAAGCCAATACTATTAAAAGGGCATGAGGTACTGATGATGAGTTTGTTGCTCAAGTGCTTAGAGATATTGCTCCAAAACCCTCAACCACATTCTCCATATCACATCCGTCCAAACCCTAAAGTATCATCTCGGTCCCACTAAAATTCTCTATCCCGGACTCACCAAGTTGATCATATACACTGCCAGAGCCAAACCCTAACTTTTCAGTTCTACCGATATGGATCTATGTCTCACCGAGATGGCATGACCAAGTTTTTATGATGAAATCTCTTCACTTCGGAATTACCGAGTTGAAACGATCAAAACTACCGAAATGAGGTTTTGCCCTAGCCATTGCACTTTGGTTGGTCTGAAGAGTTTTGATCGGTCTCACCGAGATGTCCAACGTTCGAATCTTTTACACTAGTCGGTCTCATCGAGAATTTGCTCCGGTGTCACCTAGTTGGGTCAAGTTTGTAACGGTTGGATCTTTGGGTGAATCCTATATATACCCCTCCACCCCCACTTACTCTCTATGAGAGCCATCAGAATGAAACACAACTTCCACCATTCATTTGTTGGAAATATGCCCTAGAGGCAATAGTAAAATGGTTATTATCATATTTCCTGTTGATGATAAATGTTTTATTGTTCCTATTACAAAAATAAATATCTACTATTATTACTACACTTGTATCACCGTATCTTCGCCGAACTAGTGCACCTATACAATTTACCATTGTATTTGGTGTGTCGGGGACACAAGAGACTCTTTGTTATTTGGTTGCAGTGTTGTTTAAGAGAGACCATCTTCGTTCTATGCCTCCCATGGATTGATAAACCTTAGATCATCCATTTGAGGGAAATTTTCTATTGACCT